GGCCCCCCCCAAGCCTCACCCCAGCTCCTGCCCCACGCCTGCCCTGGCTGGGGGGAACCTTGGGGGGGTGTGGGGGCAGATGGCTTCTGAAGGCAAAGCTGTGGGTGTTTGGACTGCAGTTTTTAAATATTTTCCTTTCTCTAACCCAACCCATCAGCACAAATAAAGAAAATGTCACTGGTTCAAACTACAGGGTTTTAAAAATGTCTTCAGCTTTAATTCAAAACTTCAGGTTTCTTTTTTTTTGAAATTATTTTTCCTGAGCCTTTGTTTTACCGTATATTGTAAACTTTTATGTTTAAAAGAAAAAAAATATATACATTTACAGATTGTGAAATTTTTAAGAGAAATTTTCTACTATGTATGCTGGCTTATTTTTTAATTTAAAACAGGGTTTCCGTTAGCACTGTTGGAAGTGAGGGTAAGATGCAACCCCCTTACTCCTGACATTAGTGGTGGGGCGGATGGGTTCAGAAACTCTGGGAGTTAAAAGAAATCTACTGAGTGTATTTTGCTTTTGTTACCTGATGGTATAGAGCTGGTAACAAGGCAGGTGCAGACTTGTTGACGCACAGAGTCACTTACAAAGCGCAGCGTTGGATCTGTGCTTCAAACGCTTTCAAATCCTCTGTGGATTTCGTTAGGGGTTAACGGAGGCCTTGTTAAGATGTAGATTTCCCTCAGGCAAAAGGTTTAGGTGCATTTTGCACTAACCAGTGATTACCCCTGGTTTGAATAAAGAGAAGTACATTTGGACTAGAAACACAAGCCTGTCTCCATTTTTTTTTCCTTTTGACAAAAAGAAAAGTTTCTTGTGAATTTGTGTTTTCATGAGAAATCAATTGGCAGCCCTGAAAATCACGTCTTAACATCAGCAGACAGGCTTAGCTGTGCCTCAGTGGGCTGTTAAAGCACTGGCAGGGGCGTTATGCCCACCGTTCTCCGTGCTGCTCTCTCCTCTCTGGGAGCTTTGGACCCGGCGTGGCCAAGGGCTTGCGCTCTGCGGGTGGGTCTGTGTGTGGCGCTGGGTGCTGCTGCCCCTTGGACCCGGAGGCTTCGAGGGGCTCAAAAAACACGTCCTTGCGCACGCAGAGGCCTGGTGGGTTTGTGCAGCTCCAGGCACGTGACCCTCGTCTCCTTTCCCCACCTCTGAAATCCAGAGGTAATCTTGCTGCTGATGTGATCTACTGGTGCTTCTTCAGGGCTCATGCTCCTCACCTCCACCCTGAGGCAGCTCGCTCTGCCTCCGATGGATGATCTACTTAACCCTGTATCTGCTTTTTGGGCTGTTTCTCTCCAACTGCTGCATAAAACACATTTACCAGCATCTTCATGTAGCTTAAGCGTCTGTAACTATTTGACCTGGGTCTTCTAGAACCAGCTTCGGTGCTCATCTCGTTAAGACACGGGGTTAAGCCCGTGGGAGAGGAACTGTCCAAACGCCATGAACTGCTGCAAGGTGCTTCCTCTTGTCTGTCCTCTGCGTGAGACAAGTGCCCTGTCAGAGCCAAATCCTACCCAGCGTGCTGCTCGTGGGCGGCTGCCTTTGTTGGTCCTCTCTGCTCTCGTTAATTAATCACTGTTAATAAGTCTGAACTCTTCGGGCATGGATTAGTGCACGGCTGCAAGTTTAAAAAGACTTTTTGCAGGAGCAGACGTGGTGTTGCTGAAATTCAGGATGTCTTGGGATGTATCTGTGGTGCTGGAGGTCGCTGGGTTGCTCCTGGAAGGACTTTGATCAGTTCAGGGGTTGGGGGGTTTGCGGGTGGTTTTTTGGTGGTTTGTCTGGATCGTAGCAGTTCTACTCGCTCCGAATCCTCTTGGCTCTGCCCCTCCCTCGCTTACTTCTGTGAGCACAAAGCGTGCGGAGCTCCCCTGCCAGCGCGGGAGTGGCTCCTTTTCCCTTCCCTTTGCCCAGGGTGACCCGAGCTCTGCCCTCCGCGGGCTGCGGCTGCTTTGGCTGCCTCGGGCAGGCTCTGGTTTGTGATTTACTGCGATGGGAAATAACACCGTGGGAAAGGGGTGTAATGCAAACCCCTGGCACTTTAGGTCTCCTTCCCTGCTGCGTGCTGTTGAAGTTGCTGCTCTTTCAAGCTCTTCTTGGCTGAAAGGTTTTGGAGACAGATGCCTTCTGCGCAGAACCAGCTCTTCTGGGTTAACCTGGGCACTCACGGCCACGTGAAGCTCATCTCGGCCCAGGGACAAACCGAATCAACCTGTGCTGAGAGATGGGCCGGAGCTTGTCTGTCCCCCCCCAGCACATCCCTGCCAGCAGGAGGGGCTCGGAGGCTGGGGGCCAGTGATGTCCTGGGGATGGGGGAAGCACCTGAGGCCACAGCCCAGGGCCCCCGCGGAGCGGATTTGTCACCCGCTCTGCTCTCCCGCGTGCCCGCAGCATCTGTCCCGGCTTCCAGCCTCTGCCTGGGCTGGAGCAGCCGCCCGGCTCCGGGGAAGCAGGACAGGGGGGGCTGTCGCTGAAGGATGGGGACAGGCGCCGGGGCGGGCACGGGGC